TCTGTCAAGTAGTTTTCAAGATGCATTCGAAACAAGAAGAGCTACGACAGCAAATCTTGGGCGCGGAGATCGGTAATCCTGGTCAGTTGCACAGATGGATCGGCAAAAGGCTTGGAATCCACCATTCCACCGTGTCCCGCGTTGTGAAGATGTTCCAGGAGACGAAGACCATCGAGCGGCTGGTGCGGCCGAAAACCGAAAACGGAATACCCAGAGAAGGCGCGGAAGATAAGGCAGTACTTTAAGAATAACCCGAACCTTTCCACCCGAGACGTGACTGTTGGGGGATTTAGGTTCGTTGGTTGAGCTGAATACTCCGTTTGCCTTTCCGTGCTCCAAATATACACCTTGTAAGCCACCTCATGTACCTTAGATCCTACGTTGTGTGTTTTTCCAGAATCGTACTATTTGTCCTTCCAATTCCGATCCTTTTCCGAACATCCTAGGTATCCTTTTGCTCCTCTTGTTTCCTTTCCTTCCACAATTGCAATAGAACTGAACCAATTCCACTTCCAAACACTTTATTTCAGGACCAAAGTTTAATACACTTTATTTGTAAGGGGTTTGTAAAGCGCGCGCGTTATATTTTTTGCCTTTATTCGTTCGCTATCGGTTGGCTAACTAAACTCACTGTTTCGTTATCTGTCTATCATACCTAGGAATTGTCTCTTCGTGTTCTATTCGTATTGAGTGTTCATTTAGGTACTAATAGTGTAAGTATTTAGTGAGTGTCTTCTATATGTGGTGAATGTATAACAGTTTTGTATCAACCAGTGTTGTAAATTCAATTTTAAATAATTCAATTATTGCTTAATACTAAAACATCCAACAGTAACCAAAAAGGTCAATTCGTCGAAGTGGTTCGTCCAGCAGACCATGAAGCGGGCTAGGCTACGTGTTTTTAAGGTCAGGAAGGCGCCAAACCGGACTGACAAGCAAAACACGGTGGCCAAATTGCGTGCGCGGAAGCTGTACCGTGAGTGGCTGGTCAAGCCAGGCTGTCTCGTCATGGACGACGAGACATAAATCAAGGCGGACACCAAACAAATCCCCGGCCTCGAATTTTGGTCGGTACGTCCTGCATGGAGGTTCCGGAAAAGTTCCGGAAGAGAAAGATGAACAAATTCACGAAGAAGTACCTGTTGTGGCAGGCGATCTGCGAGTGCGGACGGTACAGCAAGCCGTTCGTTACAACCGGCACCATAAACGGGCAGATTTATCGAGAGGAATGCTTGCAGAAGCGCTTGCTACCCTTCCTCCGCTCTCACCGTGGTCTCACGCTGTTCTGGCCGGATCTCGCTTCGTGCCATTACGCCAAGCCTGTAATGGATTGGTACGAAGCGAAGGGCGTTAATGTGGTCCCGAAGGAGGCGAACCGGCCAAATACACCAGAACTTCGTCCGATCGAAAAGTTTTGGGCGATAATGAAGAAGAAGTTGAAGAAAAGCGGAAAAACATTCAAAACCGATGAAGCTTTGAAGAAAAACTGGGAGAAATTGTGTAAGGAAGATGGGCAAAGTCCGCCCAAGTGTTAATAGAAATGTACGAGCATTCAGCTTGGGGGAAGAAATTCAATAAAGGGCGAACACGAAATTATTGCGACACATTCAACAGGGCATAACTTTTTTACCATTAGGTAAAAATCAACCAAATTTTGCACACTTTCTCATCGATGTGTATTGTGTACATGCTGTCAAACTCGAAGTCGTGTTTTTCGATTCAACAAAAATGGAGGTGAACCAACGCGAGTTGAGAGAACAAATTCTTTAAAAACACCTGGAATTTCCTGACCTGTCGCACCGGCAGTTGGGAAAAATGTTGAACATTCACCATTCAACCGTCTCCAGAGTGTTGAAGCGGTTCCAGGAGCGGTTCAAAGGAGCTGGAAGAAAACTGGGACCGGAGAACAAAAAGACGGAGGGAAAGGTGAAGCGGATGATTAAAGCAAATCCCAACGTCTCAAGCCGTGATTTGGCTAAAAAGATCGGCATGTCGCAGAGCTACGTCCAGAATGCAAAGAAGAGAGCTGGACTACATACATACAAGGTACAGAACTTCCCAAACCGCGATGAGCGTCAACAATCGACGGCTAAAACTCGGGCACGGAAGCTCTACGAGAAGATGCTGACAAAATATGGCTGCTGTGTGATGGACGACGAAACATATATAAAAGCCGATTTTAAGCAAATTCCGGGGTTGGAGTTTTTCACCGGCAAGAGCAAGTTCGATGTGGACGACAAATTTAAGAAGAAGAAAATGTCGAAGTTCGCCTCCAAATATCTCATTTGGCAGGCCATCTGCTCTTGCGGACTGAGGAGTGAGGCTTTCGTGACAAAGGGCACAGTAAATGGCGAGATCTACAAATCTGAGTGCCTCGAGAAGCGCCTTTTGCCGTTCTTGCAGCAGCACGACAAAGCTCCGCTATTTTGGCCAGATTTGGCATCATGCCACTATTCTAAAAGTGATCTGGAGTGGTATGAGGCCAATTCTGTCCATTTTATTCCAAAGGACATGAATCCGCCAAACTGTCCGGAGCTGCGCCCGGTGGAGCAGTACTGGGCAATAATGAAGCGGGAACTTCGGAAGAGCAAGAAGACAGTCAAAGACGAGAAGGACATGTTAAGAAAATGGAAAAAAAAACTGAGAAACTGGTACCGGATGACACTGTAAAGACTTTGATGGAGGGCATCAAGCGAAAATGCGTTCAATTTTACACTCAAGGCTCCATCGATTAACTTTTCTTTTGATTTTTGAAGTAAATATATGTATAAAACTACCCTAAAATTTTGGTTTGATTCTAAACATTATAAGAAAATTGGCATGACATTTTCGGTGTCGCAATAATTTCGTGTTCGCCTTTTAAATAAATTATGCCAAAACATAGCTAATATTTAGTTATTTAATCCCTGAAAATTTGAGAAGTATCCGATTTAAAATGAATTTTTGGTGATCATTTTTGTGTGTCTCATTTTTCCGAGTCCAGACTTTACGTTCACAAGCTAAAATACCGTGCCGATTCAAATTTCGGACACTTAAACACATCCGAAAATGCCTTTATGCAACTTTTGTAAGAGGAGCATACGAAGATTGATATTTCGATCATTTTTACGAATTGACCACTGTTATGGATGTTCCGGATCTCCCAGAGATGCTGGTCCCAGATTCAAATTCATTAATGTGCATCACAACAAGTGATTTAACAAAAAATGCTGGACTATGGATCTTTTTGCGAATTGATAACCTTTACGGATGTTTCGGATCTTCCGGAGGACCGTTTCTTGAGTACCTGGGTCTGTAGTTGGATATTATTATATTCAATGGTCATGGTTAGGTATATCAATATTGTAAAAAAAAAACAATCACGAATCTCTGTTTAGCGGTGCGAAAGCCGAAAACGTAAATACACAATCGTGATAGTACGTGCCGGTGCGTAAACAAGTTGCTAACTAAAATAGCAATGACTAAAGTTGTCAAACTAGCAGCCCGAATAGCAACGCATTGGTGCGGGTACTCTTAGAAGATTCCTGCATTTTACATAGTTCCTTGAATTTCTACGAGCTTTTCTGAAGCTCTACGAATTATCTGAAGTTGCTTGAAGTTTTACCACGTTTCCTGCACTTTTAAGAAGATCTAACTTTCTAAAACTTCTGTAAATACTAAATTTTATAAATCTGAACACTAGATCCCCTCCCGCTCATCGTTCTGAAGATTTTTTCAAAATACACCTTTCATCTCTGATAGAGAGGGTATAGTCCTGAAGATTGAAGAGTAGCAGTACTAAATCTTAATTTTATGTTAATTTCCATCTTCTATTTTCATTCCAGGTGGCCTAGGTCAGCTGGGGACAGAATGCGCAAAATTGCTTCGTAACACATATGGCGAGGAGAGCGTTATCCTGTCCGATATCATCAAACCGAGTCAGGAGATTGCCGATAGTGGGCCGTACATTTTTGCGGACATTTTAGATTTTAAGGTGAGATTACACAACTTCAACCCGAATCAAAACGAATGATTTAAGTGCCCTTTTCTTAACACAGGGCCTGCAAAAAATCGTCGTCACTCACCGCGTCGATTGGATCATCCACTTTTCCGCACTGCTCAGCGCCATCGGCGAACAGAACGTCCCACTGGCCGTCCGGGTCAACATCGAAGGTTTGCACAATGTGATCGAACTGGCAAAACAGTACAAACTGCGGATATTCGTACCGAGTACGATTGGTGCCTTCGGACCGGACAGTCCACGGAATCCCACCCCGAACGTGACAATCCAACGACCCAAGACGATCTACGGTGTGTCGAAGGTGCACGCCGAACTGATGGGGGAATACTATCACCACAAGTTTGGCCTGGACTTCCGCTGTCTGAGATTTCCGGGTGTGATCTCCAGCGATCCACCAGGCGGTGGCACCACTGGTAAGAATTAGTAACTTAATTTTATAATTCAGATATAAATCACTCTTTAATATTCAGATTACGCAGTGGCCATCTTCTTCGATGCACTAAAGTCGGGCAAGTACGACTGCTACCTGAAACCCGACACCCGACTGCCAATGATGTACATCGAGGATTGTCTTCGGTCGTTGCACGAATTTATGACCGCTCCCGAAGAGAAGCTGAAACGTCGCGTGTACAACGTAACGGCCATGTCCTTTACCCCGGAGGAGCTAGCGAACGAGCTGGCCAACTATATTCCAGAGCTGCGCATCAGCTACCGTCCCGACAGCCGCCAGGAAATTGCCGACTCGTGGCCCCAGGTGTTTGACGATTCCGAAGCCCGCCGGGACTGGGGTTGGCAGCCAAAGTACGACCTCAAGAAGCTGGTAGAACTCATGCTCAACGACGTCCGAGAGAATTACATCAATAAAGGGCTGAGCAATGTTTAAAAAACGATTGCACGCAAGTTGTAAACTTGGAAAGCTCCATCGTCGCCATTTTTCGCATTTTATTTTATAGCATGCAATCTCAATAAAAGTACACGGACAAGTTTCCCACGCGCGTTCGTTGTTGTGTCCAATATTCCTTACAAGTTTCCTTTTTCGCTTATTATAATTTATAATGCTTCTACTTGGTAGTGTCCGGTTTGGAAGGGCTCATTTTCAGCCACTGTTCGCACTTTTTCTTCGAGGCTTCGATTTCATCCCACGGGACCTCGTCGCGGGTGAGCCACTCGAAGCGCCGATCGTCGTACAGGTTGTAGTAGTTGTGCGATATGGGGAACCCGTTGTCAACGGAGACGGCATCCAACATGCGCCATACGCCGGACAGGCTGTCCGTGTCCGGAATGCCGAAAGATTCGCTTGAGGTGCCTCGCCGGACGCGGCGTTCCTTTTTCTTCTGAGCGTCCTGAAGGGGGATGGTGAAACTTTGTGTTAGTAAAATGTTTCTGAGAAGTTGGACGGGAATTTAGCATTTGTCTATAAGTAAATAAAAGCATATAGCTATAGATATAGAGTTGGAATGGAAATCATGGAACCAATTTTTGATTTAAGAACTTGGGTGAAATTAGGAGATTTTAGATAAATTTTAAGATAAGATAAGATAAGATCTAAGATCTCGTACTGAGATGGTAGAAAATTCCAATTCATCGATTTATTATTATTTTGATGTGGAAAACCCAACAATAGAATCATTTTTAGATGTTAATTTTCACATTTTGATTTTTTGCCCTAAGATTATGAAACAAAAAAAAACTGAATTCTGAATTCAATCTTGAAGGAAAATTGGAACATTTTCACGATTTGAAGTCTTTGGGAAGTCATAGGGGGCGTTTTAATTTAACAACTTGTACAAAATGTTGAAATTCTCAGTATTCGAAGATATTGGAATTTTTTGTCCTGACTGTTTAAAAACCCAATCTAGAAGAAAATTGCAACTCTACAACAGTTTATTTTATATAATAAACGTATGGTGTAAAATACATGCTTTTTAACAATAGTGTACCGGTACTGGTAGCGGTTAATACCTTCTTGAATAATTCAATTCAAATTATATAAAATTTATAATTATTACACTTTTTGATACTTTTTTAAGATAAGTACAAGCAAAACGGTAAACTTACCCTCTTCTTCTTCTCCTCCAAATGAGAGTTAAGTTCGCACTTCTTCAACAGATCCTCGATAAACTCTTGAAACTTCGGACTAAATTGTCCCGGATCGTCCAGAAGCAGTGCCTGTTCCGGTCCCGGATCTCTCTCCCCTTCGTCCGTCAAAAAATCCGGTTCACTTTCCTCCCTTCCCTCCTGCCTGGCAACTATCATCTCGTCGTAGACCCGCCGAAATTCCGGCGTAAATTGATTCAGCAGCATCTCGTCCCCTTCGTCATCTCCCGGTTTCTGTGCGTTTGATTACAAATCAATTACAATTACGTGTCATGAACTGTAAAAACAAACCTTCTTCCGTTGGTCCAATAGAATGTAGGACTCATCCAGGTCGGAGAACGGCTCCGAGAGTGTACTGTACTCGGACGCAGCGTCCTCCCAGTCCAGCTTTGGCATTTCCGCTTCCGACAGCGGTCGCAAAATGTCCATAATGTTTTCGGAGAACCTCTTCCGAATCATCGGATCTTCACTGGTGTTCTTGAAGTTTTCCATCTTTCCATTAGTAGAAGTAAACGAGCACTGAGTGATATGTAGGATTATTCAAGTTCTAGAACTAACCGCCGTTAGTTGGATCGATAGCTTTGGTTGCCATCCCGCTGCTTGGTCGCCTAGCACGTGCTAAACTTGACATTGCCGCGAGTTAACCGTGCTCCAGTTTTAGTTTCCGCGCGCACAGGGTGTCATCGCCGTGAAAAGGAGTTGTTTACGTGTTTGATAAGGATTGACAGAGCAATACACTCGATAAATGGCTGCATCGACAATGGCTGCTTTCACCGACGCGCCAAAGCGCGTAAACATAACGTTATCAGTCTACGTACCAAACAGACCGGTGCAACCGTTCGTTCCTTCACTTATCTCCACCGCGCGCGTATGCGGTTTGGATGTATTGAGATAAAACATTGAGTCTACATAGTTCTTATCAACTCTACGATTTCGATTTCGTTCGTTCGATCGTACTTCTCTGTCTTCCCGGAGACACTTAACGATGACTGATGCGATAAATAAAATACGACAAATGTTAGTCTTAATCCGACAAAGGTGCACATCGGACCGCAAAATCCTTCACAATGGAAAGTGAGACGAATACAGCAGATGAGCTGGACGTGTTCAAATTTGGCAGCAAGTGAGTAAATAGATTTTCTTTAATGGAGCAGTCACCTAGCACTAATCTATTCACAGGTCAAATGAATCATCCAATGCAGCCGAGGAACGTGCGGTTTCCCGTCCTACCCTGGACGAGTACTACGATACGACGAACAATCGCCGGGGCGTAGCGCTAGTCTTTTGCCACATGAACTTCTCGAGTATGGCTAAGCGAAACGGAACTGATAAGGATCGCGATGACATTTGCAATGTTCTCTACGGGTTGGATTTCGAGGTACGCGTTTTTGATGACCTGAGTCGGAAGGAGGTGCTGGAAACGCTGAAGGAAGTTTCCCGAGAGGACCACACGGACAATGACTGCCTGGTGGTGGTTGTAATGTCCCATGGGGAACAGGGTGTGCTGTACGCTCGAGATAACAAATACACCGTGGATTCGTTGTGGAAGAATTTCGTAGGAAAATCATGTGAATCGTTGATTGGAAAACCAAAGTTGTTCTTCATACAAGGCTGTCGTGGTGAACAACTCGATGAAGGAGTCACCATGGCAGCTCACGGACCCAAGGACATGGTGGATTCACGGCGAGAACCAATCGTGTACTCAATTCCGGCCATGGCAGATTTGCTGGTGATGTATTCCACCTACGATGGGTACTATTCGTGGAGGAACCCCAAGCAGGGATCGTGGTTCATTCAGTCTCTATGCAAGGAGTTGACGGATAATGGACGTACTAAAGATTTGCTGTTGCTGTTGACTGGGGTTACGAGAAGGACTGCCTTCGAGTATCAGTCGTTTGTGCCGCATGATAAGCGGATGGACGCCATGAAGCAGATCCCCTGTATCGTTTCCATGCTGACGAAGGTTTTCTATTTCACCAAGAAGACCAAGAATTAGGTGGTGACTGATATCGATTAGACTTTGCTATGTATCTCTTTTAAAAAAAATATGTATTTGTTCATACGATGTCTTGCCACTTCGTTATATTCTACTTAGTTTCGTCATTTCAAACTGAAGGGCTTAACAAAGTAGCATGGAACTCTATTCTGGTTAAGGAGTTGAATAAACGTGTTGCTATACTATGACGACATTAGTTTCATTGTTGTAATAATTATAGAGCTCAAAATAAATTACGATTTATCTTTATGTTACCCTTCATTTCAAAGCTGATACATGATCATTTTACATTAATACTGAAAAAACATTTCACTCATAATATTTATATATTTATTTATTCGTCAATCAATCAAATCGTAGACTACATATTAACATTAGGGCTTATGTTCTATGACTTCGCAGGATTCTGAAATATATTTTTAATTCTGTTGAGGGCATATTTAGGTAAATCATTTCACAATGATGATTATAAACAGTCATCATCTGATTTATCGGTCCAAATTTAGCGTAATTGGTCCGATGGCGATCTACTGCAAACAAGTGTCGATTGCGTAATTGTCGGGAAGGTGTGTGTGTGTGTGTGTGTGTGTGTGTGTGTGTGTGTGTGTGTGTGTGTGTATGTCTGTATTCAATCTAACCCCCACTGGCCGGCAGTAGTATTATTGCTTAAGACAATCCTTGATGTAATAATTTAAAGCAAGTTTAGTCCGGGAGTTAGAAAGCGATAGCTCTACTGCAGATTCAGCAACCCATTTCAGAATGCCTGGTAATTCACGTCTATTCCGAGGCTACTTTCACATACAATAAGCCCCGCATGTAAACACTACCGTTATCATATGAATAATGGTACTGCAAACACACTTCCAGATTTCGAAATGTGATGTTTAGAAATCTGGCGCGTATTTAGTAACATATGGAAATATGCATTTATGATTGATTATAAATCAGATGGATCTCACCAAATTCTGCCTCCGAAAAAGGACCGGTTTGTTCACTCGCGGTAATCGAAAAAATCTTCCGCGTTGTTTTTACAACCCAACACGACATGTTGAATCACATTCGAAGTTTTTCATTTGCACCGAATTTTTGCTTGACACCTCATTCGCGTGCATCCTCCGGAAGGCAGAACGCCAGCACCAAGGAAAAAAAAAAAAAAATTCTTCTTGGGAGGGAGGCAAAGCACCAAAAACAAGCGAAATGTAAAACCGACCGACGCGACACCACAGCAACACAGCTACTCGAAACAAATTCTTGTCCCAAATTTTTCACGTTAATTACAATATCACTAAAAAAACTTCTTAAGACGTGATAGATCTTAATTGACACTTATCCACACGCGAAAACTAATATTTGTTTGATTTGATACAATTAAAAAATATGCGAAAAACAGATGAAATCAGCGCCAGCGAAAACAAAACCAACCGTTCGCGGGCAGAGCCTACTGCGTTTTTTTCGATTGCGTAATTGTCGGGAAGGTGCATAAAAATTTAATCTTGACAGTAGATCAGCTGAGCCAATGCAATGCGTTGCGAAATGATATTGTTTAATAAAGAAATCTTTGCGTAAACCCGAGGTTCTTTCAATGTTTGAATGTTGATCAACAAGCAACGTGCTTCATATGATGGGAGAGGAAAAGCCGTCTAACCTAACTTACGTAGTGAATGTAATAAAAATTGGTTACCTCTATCCATTGCATTTATACGAAGTTCACAAATTCCAAAAGGTTTGTGGGGGTTGAACGGCCTTTAAAAAAGCCTTGTTGTGCACTAGTTATTCTTTGTTTTAATTGGCCAAAAACGATTCGAAGAGTTTTGGAATGCAGCAATCCTGAAATGATAGCACGATCATATCGGATTTTTCACCAGATTTATATATGGGTATTAAGTAGCGTTTTTTTTTCCATTCCTTCGGAAATATACCGCATTCAAGCTGGGGGCAAGACAGCTTTTGATCATGAGTTAGAACGGAGTTAATTTTAAGTTACTCTGAGTAACTCGAGCTGCTCAAAATTCTGTTTGTATTGACTCAGTACCCATGTTCACCAATCGATTCTAAACGTTTAATTGTTCCATACCGTTTTCAGATTAAGGTTCTACAAAGGGTCAATAATTTGTCTACTTCTTCTTTTTGAAATATTGTTCGATCATCATTTTCTAAATGTATTGGTAAAATTCATTGGAAGTGCATGTCACGTGCCAAAACTGTCCATGTTTCATAAATATCAACTGGTATGGTGAGGAAAGTTTAACCATCTCTTTTCTTCCTTCATTTCACTACAACAGCAAATGTGACCTCACACTACCTACACAGATAAAAATTCTGAATGTTAATAGTGATGTAAACATTCATTCACGTAAACTTGTATTTCATTTCACGCAACCGAGCAACTTGTAAACAATGTTGTTTACAAGAATGGGAATTTGTATACAATATTTGCTACACTGCATGAAATGTCACAGAACTTTACATGATATTTAATGTAAACTTTTATGATATGTGACGCTCCATTTATGTGCATCATACTGAACAAAAATTTACACTACTCTTTTGAACTGTGTACTATAGTGCATAATCATACTTTAGCAATCTCTATAGTGGACCCTACACGATTGTTTTTATTTAAAATAATCGTATTGTCAATACATTCTATATTGACGTCAATACATCGGTATTGACAATAATTCTGTATTCACATCATCAATATAATTGTCAATAATTCCCCTCCGCGTCAATATATTGGTACGTGTGGGGTTCGCTTATGAAATTGTGTTTACACCCCTGATGGTGGTAAACTCCAACCGGTACTATCCTCGGATTAAATCCTTATCACGAATGCTATGGTACTAGTAGTAGTAGTAGTAGTAGTAGTAGTAGTAGTAGTAGTAGTAGTAGTAGTAGTAGTAGTAGTAGTAGTAGTAGTAGTAGTAGTAGTAGTAGTAGTAGTAGTAGTAGTAGTAGTAGTAGTAGTAGTACGTGTTTATTTAATAACAACTTTTTAATGAACAAACTTCTCTTCTTTCTCTGCTCGGGGGAAGTGTTGGCAGCTGCCGTAAGCAAAAGCAAAGTAATTTAACTACAGGTAACAATAAGGAAATATATCAAAGTTATTTAACCAAGGTATGACAGCTCTTCCTCCCTTGAAAGTATGCAATTACATATTTGAATCTTCACAAATTCAATCTTCTCGGAGGACGAATGATTCTGCCCGATCGTCGCGGCGATTGGTGTGCTCCTTGGCGCAGGCGGCGGCAGCATATGACTTGACTGTTGAGGTTGCAATTGTTCCGGCGTAGCATTGGGCAAAACACCAGAATCAGAAGAAGCTTCAGGAACGATTGGGACGACTGGTTCATCCGGAAGCACTATAGCGGGAACGAATCTATCACCAAATAGGTTTGCGCCGACTTCCGGTAGCTGGTCAACATGTCGTTTCCAAGTCCTTCCACCATCCAGATAAATGTAGTAGTGCAGTTTCCCCAACTTCTCCGAGATTACTCCGTACTTCCACTTGGTTTTGTCGTA